CCTCTGGAGGTGCCCCAAATTCCTTGGATCATGGTCCCTTTCCTGCATCCTCAAGGCCAGTAATAGTGCTTTCCTTGTTGCCAATTACTCTTTTTTTTCTATAGCATCTCTTTTTCAACACTGCAAAATCTGTCGTTAGCTCCACACTCTTAATCCTCATGCAAAACCATGTTATATAACACCTTCCCAAGTTCCAGGAATTAGGACGTGGCAGCTTCAGTGTGTGTACAGAAAGTTTGGGGCATCAGCCTCACTGTGCCTTTGGTTTTCCTTTCACCCTATTGTCTGATAATCACCTTCAGACCCCCTCCTTCTCATGGCTCCTCAATCCTAACCTGTGAAACCTTCCACTGTTTTCCTTTCCATCCTAAACAGCCTCCATTTCCCAACGCTCCCAAAGGGAAACCATGGCTTGAAAACCCTGGGGTCTCTATCCAAAGCTCTCTTGGGTTTCTGCACTCTTGCAGCAGGCTTTTAAAACTGCAGCACCCACGTCACCAAGAAGACTTGAAAACCTCTAGCCTGAAGGCAGCTACAGAAGCTAGCTCATTTCGTGATGCCCACTCATCTTAGAGTCTTCCCTTCGCCAATTTCTTCAACTAGATGAGCCCTGGTCTTCAGCCAGCTGTCTAGCTGGACAGTCGGGATGGATCTTTGCTGTGTGGGAATCACACGGTATCCCAACTCATTCTCTGCCTGAGTGGAAATTGTTAGTGCATGCTGAGAGTGTTGGACCAGGTGTTTTCCATGTGTAGGTTATCTGATACGAAGGGGCCACTTAAAGATAGGACAGGATGATGATGCTCCTGATAAACAGTCACGACTTAGAAACTTGAGCCTTCTCCCAGGTGGGTGTCTTCATACCAAGGGGAGAGGTGAGACATGGATACGTGGTATCCACAATACCATGTGACAGACAGCTGTCTCCTCAGAGGTCCTTCCTATTTCTCGATACAGACGTAGTCATCCGGAACAGAGACATCTAAAAGCTTCTAGATGGAAATTTGAGAGACGTGACACATTTCGATTTAAGTTGCTTTAAGCCACTTAGGGCCACTTACGGTTTTTATTCCTCCCTCCCTCGCAGAGTGGATATAACTGCTAACAAACCGTTTTAGATCATGCACTGACCTTAAGGATAAAAGGTGTACTTGAAACAACAGAAATCTAGGTGTCTGACCACTTTGCACAGTGTAACCCATTTACTAGGGCTGGACCAAACGCCATGGTAATACTATACAGAACATAAGTTTCTGTCTTATTTCTGCCATTGTTATCCCGGGATTTCGATGTTTGCAACTGGAGCCAAGGTAATCAGGACAGTTAAAACCACAGTTCTCAAAGTGGAGGTGTGAGCTGCAACGTTTCAGTGTTTGTTTTTGTTCTTTTAAAGCAGTTTGTGAATTCAAAACATTTTTCCTAATATATTAAAGCATTATTACTGTTTTTTTTTTTTTTCTTTACTACTGCTTGTTCACTGACAGAGCAGAAGTATGATTGTGGCTACAAAGGGTGAGGGAGGATGGCCTGAGCCCAGGAATTTGAGTTCAACCTGGGAAACAGGACTAGATAGAAGAGGAGGGAGGAGGAGAAAGGGAGAGGGGAGAGAGAAGAGGGAGGAGGGGCGAGGAGAGAGAAGGAGTGAGCGGTGGGGGAAGCAGTGTGGGTCAAAGCAGCCTAGATCCAAGCAGCACTTAAGCACACACTGTGTTCCCCAGTGCCATGCACTTGCAGTTTGGGCTCAAAAATACAGTCAAACAAAAGGCCACTAATACACCTTCCTACCTTCCTTTCTTCCTTCCTTCTGCAACCAGGAGTCGGTGTGAGGTTTTATTTTCTCCAAGCCAAACATCTGACAGATGCTGTCTCTAGCAACCCAGACGTTGAAGACATTTGGAAAAACTTTAAAACTCTATTTTCCCCACTAGCTGTTGGAAAATAACTTCCATAAAATATCTATCATTTACATAAACATGAAGTTGGTTTGCAGTTACACTACACTAATAAATTATTTTTATAATGTGTTAGTTGCATCTCTAACACAGTATTTATATAAGCATCATACATAAAAGCCTTTTGGAGAAACTCCAATCTTTGGAGAATAAAGGCGTCTCAAAAACAAGATGCTTAAAATCTCTGGTTTGTGATACTAAATTTAAGACATAACCACAGAGCTGTTTTCTTATGAAAACACACCCGCTGTTCATCCTTGAAGTGGGGAAATAACACAGTGCTGAGGAAAAAGTTGGGGGATGGGACTGGGCAGAGAGTTTCAAAACCATAAATCAACAGCATTGGTGTGAAGCATCAGGGAAAATGAGATTAAGGGCAAATGAAGTGGTACCCATTAGCTCCAACACACACACACTAAGACTAAGCCAAGAAGTGTTTGCTTTCCTTGAGGGTCTCCTACGTAGCCCTGGCTGGTGTGAAACTAGATAGGTAGACCACATTGGCCGTTGAACTTGAAGAGCTCACCTCAGAGCCTCCCAAGTGCTATGATTAAAAGCACGCACCACCAGGCCCAGTCCTTGGAGTTGATTTTTAAATAGGGAATGCATGTACACACTGCATTTCTCATTAGGCATTTGACTACCTGTATTAAACAGCAGAGGCCCGGACAACTGGCTGTAGAGTAACTAGCCTTCCAGCAGCAAAACGTGAAAAGGTCACAAGTGGCAGAGATTAGGATGCAGGAAAGGAGACAGTCTGTGAGCATGGGTACAGAATGCTCTGAAGGGCCAGTCAGCACTCCAGTACCTAAGGAGAAAATCAGAATGGCTTGGGTGACTGGTCACTCAGCAGGCAAATGGCCACCGAGCACCTAGCTAAGGGCAGGCTCTGTTCAAAGCCCCAGAGACAGCGAGCAAAGAGGAGACATCTCTTCCTCAGACCTGGCATTTAAAACCCAGCTAGTCCTTTTGAAATTTGGGCTCTTTGTCTGAGTCAGTGTAGAAGAAGGAAGTCAAAAATGTAAGTGAAATAAACTACATTAACTTTTTTTTTTTATTCTCCTCGAAAGTAGGAATAGAGAAGAAAGGAGAGAATGCTTGACTGACATGTTTTTAAAGTCACAGCACAGAACATAAAATGTACTCTAAAAACTGTATCTGTCTGCCTGAGGGTGAGGAAAAGAAAACAAGAAAGAGGAGAGAGGCACACAAGGCAAATATGGGACTTGACGAACTGACAACAGAGGGGAGTGGTGCTGCCAAAACTCCTGGTTAGTGAGGAAGAAGGGAAAAGTCCCTATCTCTAAGGTACCTCCCAGCTTGCATTGGTATTCTTTTAAAGCCCATTTCTGGGTAGCATCTACATAAGTGCTGTGTGTGTGTGTGTGTGTATGCGCACGCGCGCACGCTGAACACTATGAAATGTACAGATGCCAGGTCAACTACATTTTAGTTTCACATATTCACTTTATCCAACTAACTGTGGAGGGTCCCCTGCCCACCTTCTCCCTCACACTTTATCCACTTAAACAAGAAGTTCTTATAACTACGGAAAATAAGCTCGTGCATCTTCATACCTGAGCTCATGGAACATGTCAGTGGCATCCATGCTCAGTGCAATGAGATTCCACACAAACAGCAGTGTGAAATATGAGTCTGTGTCATCAGGAGACCTGCCCCCCTCAAAGACTTGACACTTCCAAAGGAAATATTGTATGTGCCTGTCTTGATTACTGCCCCATTGCTAAAACTAAAACAACCAAAAACACCAAAAAAGCCAAGTCCCCCACCCCAAACAACCTAAGTCTAATGTCAGTCCTAATTCAGATACCAGCAGCATATATTGCTTTGAGAAAAACAAGTGACCGCTATGTGGTCATAATAACATGACAAACCCTAATTACTTAGGGATAGATTATCTACAGAGTTTCTGAATGCCAAGATTACTTCTCCATGCTTCTGGGCCACTTTCTTCTACTGCTACCAGCTTAATATCCAAAGTGTATTCATTTAACACTTCCATGTTAATGTTCAGGGTCAAACCAGACATTAGCAACTGCACCAACAGTGGCGTTATGACTAACTGGGGTTATATGTGTGAAACCCTGCGGCAGACAGCAACAAGAGAGTGTTAATAAAGGAGGCAACAGTGCTGTTACCACAGCCACCATCAGTTTAGAGTCCAAAACCCATTTCTGGTCATTTCCAAACAATCCAAGGTAGGAATGGGAGTCCACTTTCTAAATCCACACAATTAAAAAAAAAAAAGCAGATCACATAGGAGTTTCCAGAAATCAGACCACCTCAAAGAGGGTGGAGATGGAAAACATAATTCTATTCCCCAGGCACTCCATTACAGTGCAATAGAAATGTCCATAAAGAAAACGGAATTCTAAAACTGGACAGATTTTCTTCAAAGCAGTTTACATAAACTTTTGGTGTAAAACAGAAACTTCTATTGTCCTTGTTGGCTGCTGGGGAAGGAAGGGTCAATTTTCGCTAAGAGTGTAGCCAGCCCCTGATAAGCCAGCCATACTCCAGTGAAAGGCCAGAGCCAAGAATATTTGGCAGTACAACTTGGCCTTGGCAGGATGAGGGGGAGGGGTAAAGTGGGGGGCTCAAAGTTGGGTGGGGAAAGAACCTGGGAAGATTTTGGGGAGGGATCAAAATGTGTTGCAGGAAATATACAAAGAACTAATAAATAGATTTTAAAACTCTCCTGCTGCTTTCACAATGTCCTGCCTGGATTAAAGGCCTCAAGTGAACTGAGCAGCCTGTGCAGGGCTTGGCCTGGGAGCACCTGGCACTGTGCTCTGGCGATCACTCACAGCTGTTTTATGAGACCGTTTCTCTCTCACCCTCCATAGGGTTCAATGTCAATGGGAACTCCAAAGGGGCGGGCTGTGTGGAAAACTGCTCCAAGCACTGTCTCTGTGCTATCGCTGCCACGTCGTCACAAAGCTGCATTTTTAATCCTGCTTCCTTCCGTGACAGAATAACCCAGGCCCTCTGAGATGAATAAAAGTTTTAAAATCAAAACCACATTCCAAATGTCTTAAAAGATATCTTTTGTTCAATTCTTTCATAAAAACATTGGTCACTATTTAACATACAGAGGCAACAAAATGCACCCGGGTTACATGCATCGATCAGTTAATAAATTGTAATACATGAACATGGACGCTGAACAAACAGTACTACAGCAGCTCATGATACAGTTTGCCGTAGCGCTAACGCTGACACAGACAGCTGCAATGAGAAACAGGCGGTCCAGTTCCAGCTGACATTAGATTCTCCGTGGTGAAAAACACTCAACAAGGGTCTTATGGAGTCACTAATTTAAAGGGAACCATCTTCAGAAATCACATTGTGCAAAGCATCATGTTAGGGCAGAGCAAGAGCGAGAAAACAATACCTTTGGTTGAGGACAGGGAGACTGATTTTGTTTGTCTGCTTTTGAAAACTAAGCATCTTAATGAGTCAAAAACATTTTATTGATTAAACATGATTCAAATTTTTGACTGAAAATCAGAACGTCTTTCAATGTGAAAGCTACATCTTTCATGTTTTGATAGCTCAGATAACTGAAGATTTTCAATGAAACTGGCATAATTCTGGTAATAAGGACTTGGGTATTTTCAAGAGGAAGAGAAAGAAAATCAACCGTCAAAAGTCCTTTCTAAACTCCAAGACAAGTTTCTGGAGATGAGATTTAATAAGAAGAAAAGTTAAGCACCACAATACAACACTTAAAAACAAAATCAGGGAATCCACCAATATACAAGGTAAAGACAAACACGTGTTTACACAGAAAATGAAGACGAATTCTAACCCTATCAACCTGGAACCCTCTGCTCGGTATCCACGTGTGTGACGTCTGGATGAAGATAAAAAAGATAAATCTGTGATCTCAAGTCGTGTAATGCTAGTTTGATCAAAGGAAAACATTACTTGTGTATATGAATTTGATTTTTTTTTTTTTACTTTTATCCTATCTAGTTTTCCTTAAAATCTATGATAAATGGACAGCACTAAATCATCCCAAATAAAAAAGGGACAAGATGTGACATGCTTTCTTCTAAAGAAGAAATCTTCCTTAAAAGGAACACAAAAAGTAATCATGTGCAAAATAACTCCAGAATGAGATTTTAAAACAGGCATGTGAAGCTTGTCTTTTCCATCTAGTTAGCAAACATGAACAATTTTAATTTTAATAAATTCTAACTTCAATTTCTCGCTTTCATATGTTCAATTATTCTGCTACACGTAACTTTTTAGCATGTGTAGTAGAACATATGGGAAAAAACTTCAGGGGTTTTAAATTAAACTCGGATTCCTACATAATTGTATTTGGTTAGACATACAAGCATAGACACAAACAGCTTTAACCAACCATATGCTATAATCACCACAAAAGAAAAAAAAAGTCCAAAAATGGGAGAAGGGATTTCTTCTCATGTTATATTTGACTAGATTCTATATAGTGAAGAGCAAAATATAAAATAGATGTTATTTCTTAAAAAAAAAAAAAAAAATGCATCCAGAAAAAAAAAAACTCATAAAGCAAGATCTAATGACATTAGGATTCTGGACATGGAATATTTAGACTCATTCCATTCCATGAGACAACAACACTTTAGGGGGAAAATTCTTCCAAAGTAATGAGCTGATGCTTCATGAACCTTCCAAATACCACCTGAACGCTACTCACTCCATAGAACTCCTTGAAAGTTTCCATTTTCTATTTTTCTAAAACAAAAAAGTTTAGCCTAATGCCATCCATCTCTAATTCCTCAGTTCACCCTACTCTCTTAATCCCATCCAAGAGACAGCAAGCAACAGAGCATGCCTTTTCCTCACAAATCAGAACTCCCCGAGTGACTGCTCCAAGTTGAGAAATGAGAGGAAAAAAGCCAATGAGAAATAAGTACACTTGTTAGCATGTACGGTGGTGTAAAAGGGAGGCCAGGTAATTGCTCTTTCTGATCAACCGCTGGCTCTTAAGACAGTGTGGTTCAAAATTAAAATGAATTGGATATGCTTAAAACACTGCTTCACTTTGAATAGCTGTGAAAGTTTTAAAACTGAGTGAATTTATATGCTTGGAAATGTCTGCTGTGAAATAGCACAGAAATGATGCCACCAGAGAGGGAGTTAAAATTTTAACTGATACTAAACATCTTAAATAATTTGGAGAAACCCTAGCATTGAATAAAACCATCAGGAAAAAAAAAAACAAAAACATAAATAGGTATTCCCATGCATGTACATGTTACATAACAAATAGGCAAACCCCAAGTCAGTACAGTACAGTACCAATGACTGAAAGTTAAATAATATGTTGATACATAGAAAGAATACATGTTGACTGCCACTGATGAAAAGCATCTCAACACTTTACATAAAATGATACTAAATAGTCTTTAAAAAGATGTCTTAAGAAGACCAAGCCACAATAAGTTAGTGTTTCCATAATACATGCTGAATTATTTGATCCCATATCTATACACTGTTACTGTCTTCACTGCTAAATGTTGTGACAGCATATTTAATGACTGAGGTACATTAGTTTACATCTTTTTATAGGTATTCTAAGATGATTAATTTGTCGTTTCCAGTTTTTCATCTTCTTCACCTCCTCCAAAGAAAATCAAAGGGAACATTCCTAGAATGCAGCCAATAGTCACCCCAACAGCCTTGCCCTAAGGAAACAAAAAAGAATATTTCTTAAAGTTACATGTCCTTAAAAGAGGTTTTCTTGCTTAAACATTGATGACAACAGTCAATTGCCACACACTATGAAATTCCCACTATAAGTGTACTCCTGTTGATTATAGAAACCTAAGTATTAAATAAGCTACCAAACACTCAAGAAAATGCCGTTTTAAAGTTCAAAGGAATAAAAGGAGAAAAATCATCATGAACATGTCATCAGAGAAATATTCAGGTAGAAAATACATATTTTTTTAATCATACATGTTTTTTAATGTCAGAAGATTGGAACACAGGAGGGAGAAATGTACCAGCTATCCTCAATGTACCAGGATTTGGTACCCTTGTAATCCAGTCCTTCGGCACTTAATCCCATGTAGGCTAAGTTATATGCAGATATAAGCACTGTAGACACAGTTTTGCTCTCTTCCTCTCTACCCTGTACGTGTTATACAGCACTTGTGTTTCCAAGCTGCTGCGTACATTCTGTATAAAAACTTTCAAGTTCCACTGAATTACGGGCCCATGGCCTCCTAAAAGCATCCCTAACTATAAAGCAGCCCACAGCTATATCCCCACAGCTGTGACACAGCACTCAAGGTTCCTATGTACAGTTCTTCTGATAATTTAAAAACTAAATATTTGTGCATCTTCATAGGGTATGGTCCTACTGTCCACACACATAAACTGCATAGATGGCAATTGTAATCATGTATGACATGTATGTATCACATTGAGATTTCTGCCACCTACACTGTACATTGTGAAAAGGTTTTAAATTTTTACTTCTATAAGTGATTTCAAATTTTGCATTCCTATTGACTGTCAAACGTTTTCTTTTTAAAAAACACCTATTTTATTATTTTTTAATTATTTATGTGCATGCATGCCTCTTTTTGTGTGGATACGCACACAGGAGTGCAAGTGCCAGCAGAGGCCAAAAGAAGACACTGAATACCCTGGAAGTGGAATTATGGGCAGTTTTGAGCCCCGAGTGCTGGGGACTGAACGTGAGTCCTCCAAACCAGCATACATTCTCTTAACATCTGAGCCACCTCTCCAGCCCCTCAATTAAGTTTTCTTCTTCTCATACAGACATTTACTGAGATTCTGTTGCTACTGAACTCTATGCTGCGTTATCGCAAGACTGGGATTAATCACATAGTCGACCTCTCCTCCTGGAGCTTCCAGTTAGGAACACGGAGACAAAACCAGTCCCATCTGACATTAACAGCTGCTACATCATCTGTAGCACTGAAGGAAATGTTTCCTGTTGGATAGCAGCCAGTTAGATCGTGGAGTATCTGCAATGACTTTCGAAGTAGACATTAAAGTTTTGACAATAGTGTATACAACACTTTCTCAGTCTGTTACTACAGAGTTTTGTTGTTTCCTGTGGTGGCGGTGGTGGTGGCGGTGGCGGTGGCGGTGAGCCACTGTTTTATATTAATAATTAAATCTGTCAGTCTCACTATGTAAATATTTTAAAGGCACTACAGTTTCAGGGATAGAACAAAGAGAAATTTGTTCTGTCCAGATACTAAAAAAGTTAGTTCTAAATTCTTATTTTGATCTCAATATTTTGTTCATTTATATTTCAATAGAGAGATTATTCTACTTGGCTCCTTGGAACATGACCGCAGCTAAAAGACCCCCTACTGCCCACTTATTCTGTTCAAATGCCTTTCACTATCACCCAACGTGACCAACGGTTCCTTCTTGCTCTCTATAGAAATGCCAGAGCAGAATGATCTTTGCCTCCATTAATGTTTCAATCCATTTCTACTTCATCTTTCCTATTAGTTCACAGAAACATTCAGAAATGACGAAAAATGAACAGCTACAGTATAAATGGGAATCTATTCCAGAACGACCAGAGGATAACAAAATCTTCAGGTGCTCAAGCCCTTAATATTAACCAAGCTATATAATGTTTAAAAAAACAAACAATCAAGGGATTGTTTAAATATAAATATAAATGGATAACAAACTCTTTTTCTGAGAATGTCCAAGGCCTGGGCACTTTTTCCAAGCAACTCCACTCAAATCAATTATAATCTCAAAACTCCTACCATGCTGTCCACCATAAGCCACATAACTTACCAAATGTGTGCTAACACGCGTTTGCCACATGTCAACTTGCTTTGGTGTAAGATCAGGAATTGAGAGGCCTAACCTAGAAGCCAAAGCCTCAACGTAACCTGCAAGGCTTTAAAGAAACAAGAGAACAAAAGAGTTTCAATAGACATGCAAATGTCTTCATATAAGAAAAACCAATCACTACAAAGAGAATACAGTTTTGTCCCTGTGTTAACCACTCTATACAGAGGAAAAAAATGTTACAATTCCGTTTTTTTAGGTATAACTCTGGTTTAAAATACTTTAGAATTCACATTTAATACAGTGACTCAGATCATTAATTCTTTATCATTATTCTTAAATCGCTACACTTACTTCAAACTCAAAGTATTTACACATATGATTTAATCTGATAACCATGATCAGAAAGTAACAGTTTTTAAAATTCATCAAACCAATGCAAAAAAGAATGGCAGCCTAGAACTTTTACCCTAACTGGGGATGTTATCAATTCTACATTACTGGATATAATCTTGTTCTAAGTACTGTCAGAAAGAAAAGAGCTTGTCAGTTATGCATACTGACAATCATAATACACACTCTGGCTTCAGATATAAAGTGTTTTAAAAGTGTGCATCTAAGAACACATATAATGTGACATTTGTGAGGAATTGTGAAAATAGAAGGAAGTAAACAGTTCGCAAATGTAAAAGCTTTTTATAAAAATTTTCAGACCTCAATCTAAACCTAAGTGGCTTTAAAATCTATCAGCTGGCTCTACTAATGCATCAGAAAGCTAAATAGAAGCTACAATACTGTCAACACGAAGTTTGGAAATGGGGGAAATAAAATGTCAAAGAAGCCATACTAAAGATGTATATCAAGAATTTTGGGAATATAAAATTCCTATCATGGCTCTAAAGCATAGCTTTGGCCCAAAACTCAAGTGCAGATGTCCAATACTGAGGATCAGATCACTTACAAAACTGCCTCTGCCTAAACTGCGAGCAAAAATAGACTCCAACTGGATCCAAATCTCAAAGTAGCCACTTGAGTAGCCAAAAAAGAAAGATAATGTCAATAACAAGATGAGAGAGAGAGAGACGTTTGTCCAAATATTTAATGCCAACTTCCCAGCTTTTCCAAGCCCAGGAAACAGCCCAGGCCATCTGCCACCTGGAAGAAGGCTAGAAGCTGGCTTTTCGAAGCAGCCATTCATTTGTGTTATCATTCCTGCCATATGAAAGAAGTAAAAATGGCCAAGTAAACATATGGCTTGTAGACTGGGGGGAAGGGAGAAGGTCTCACAGAGGTAGGGTACATCCTTAGTCTGCACAAAACTCTATGTTCACTCGTGTAACACCAGAGATAAAAGAGAGAGAGACGTGGACATTATTTCCTTTGCAGGTCAGCATCCTTAAATTTGGGCCATATCTCTTTATCTTAGGGCTTTTTGCAAGCAAAAGGAAGTGGAAAAATGACAGAGGTTTACATTTAATTCTCTGTTCCCATCGTAAATGTTCACGAAACACATCTTCAGTAAAGAATTCTATTTTGCTTATATTGTAATCATTTTAGAAAATAACATAGTACATATAACATAGTGACATGGTTCCATTATTGGAACCACTATTCAGTTTTATTGACACATTACCCCCAACAATAACATTTAATGTCAAACAAATATTTAGTACTACTGATTTAGAAATATTAAACACTTAGTTTCAGAACCCAAAGGAAAATAAGTGTCCTTTTTAAAGGCTTATTAATTACAGAAGACTAAAGACAAGAATACATGAGTAAGTACCTACAGAAATCAATCATAAATGAACCTACCCAAGTCCAGCTAAATCTGAAACAAGATTTCCCAAAGCAGCAGCTGGAAATTTGAAAAATATACAGTGAATTATCAAAATAAAGCCAGCGAAGGTCACAGTATTATATCATGCGAGGCACTGAGCTCTGGTCTGCCAGGGTCAGCCTGGTTCTCTACTGTAACAACTATGTTCAGAGCCACTCTGGGATAGTTTTAAGAGTGTCAAAAGTTTGCATTTTTTTCTACTCAACTTGAAAATAAATAATTAAATAGTGACAAAGGGTAAAAAATTTACAATGAACATGAATGTAACATTGAATTATGAGAAAAACTTGCCATAACATAGAAATTTAATGGAATACTATTAACCACTAACATAAATTACTTACAATTTCTCAGGGGGGAAATATTGTCATATACAGAAAACTAGGAACCAGAAGATTAGCATTAAAGATATCTAAACAAACAAACATCTCAATGAACAAATTCATTTAAAATAAATTATCATCTTCTAGGCCTAACTTACTGACATTTTAAAATAATATGCAGACAAGAGAATTTTGACATTTGCTAATTAAATACCTGCCATTGTCGAAATTCCCAAAATAATTCCAATAGACAATTCGATTTGGGTTCCCTGAAAAATGATCAGGAAAAAAATTAAAGCTGACATGACTATAAAAGAATTTTAGCATGCTAATAAAAACAGACTATGTAGTCAAATCAACATGCTGTTGCAATACAATTACACATAAAAATATCCATAAATGTGCACATTTAATTCATATATATATATATATATACACACACACACACATGAAGAAATAACCAATCACATTTTATCCATTAAAATTGAACTTTCCTAAAAATAAATAGCAACACATGTAGTGATCAATTCATCATTAAAAATCTAATTTCTAAATTCTTAATTCTGCTTCTCTATCTCCCAGAAATATGTTTTAAAGCTCTTTAAACAGAAAGATTGGTGCATGGATGCTAAGTTCCGAGGAACATCTTGTACTGTTGCTTACTCTATCAAAAGATTTGAAAGACTAAATACGTTTCTAGGAAAACCGCCATTAGAAAGATTTTCCTCGACACCTTTGGTTCCTTAACCATTGACTGGTGGGATTCATGTGTTTAAGTGGGAAGAACATGAACAGTCAACAATGCAGGAAGAATGAGGACCCACTATGTTCCTACCGGACTCACTTACTGGGAGTCACAGGTTCCCACATTTACACTTTGGGGAAAGAAGAGGAGCTCATGTTTCCCACACACTCTATGGACGTGGCACTGAGGGGACAGGGATTCAGTGACGCCCCTGGGCTGTCAAACAGATGGGGCGCTGGGTCTATTTTGCTAACTCAGTTCCAATCCTTGATGAAGGTTACTTTTCAAGAGCTCCCTAGAAGACTGGTATTAAACATTTTTTTTATTTTTTATTAATTTTTTATTTATTTTTATTTTGTTTTTTTTTGTATTAAACATTTTTTTAAAAATTAAATACTAAGAAAAAAGGGCTAATGTGCTACATAAAGTCAGTACTCATCAGTGAGTACAGAGTGTAAAACTGGATGATACTTTCCTCAATTCTCTTGCCCCTCTGCTTTCAGTTCTACCCTTGAAGATATAATCCTTGTTGAGTATGAGCAAACAGCCTGATGCACCATGCTCCCAGACACATAAAATTATAAAGTTCTAAAGGCACCTAAAATAGATTTCTGAGGAAAATTAAAAAAAAAAAATACAGAGAGAAAGATGACAAAGATAGCTCATATAAATGCAAAGATGGCAGAGCACCACTACAGCAGAGCTGTGCACAGATAATAATAAATATGACAGCACCTTTAACAGGAATGAATCATCAATGGCCCAGAACCTTTTTGCAAAATATGCATTTGAAAGCTATTTGTGTGAACTGAAGACAAAGCTTTGTGGCTAGAGTATCTGCTAACATGCTTGAAGTCCCAGACTTGAGCCCCATCACTCCCCACACACAAAGTAAGAAACAAGTGTGCTTTATCACTTGGTGAAATTTGAGGTGCTTGAAGGTCCTGCTAAGAGCATAAAAAGCTTCATATAAACTCCAAGATGCTTGGGGAACAATTCCCTACTTCTCTATTTTGTCCTGTATTCTAGAAACTTTTGTTTTAACAGATGAGATGGAAATCACAAATACAAATACATCTACATCAGTTGTCGAAGTTAAACTTCACTGCCCTAACTACACTTACAATTAATCTATTGTATAAAATTCTATCCTAATTGAATTGTAGAACGAATAAATTCCCAAAATGACTAAAATAACTGGATTATAAAAAGCAATCCAGTAATATAAAGTTATAATAAGCTATGTAACCTGAGGCTGAGTATTTTTAGCAGCCAATAGTAACGGTCTACTACATAATTGACTATATAGAAATGTGTTCTCATGACTACAAAGCCAGAAAGGTACATCTAACAGGCAGGACAGAACGTTTATACCAGGACAGGGCAGAACACTCTGACCCCACCCTCTCTGAAAAAGCTCACATCCATTCCACAATGCAAAAAGATATCTGTGCTTTAAAGCGTGGTTAAGGAGTAAAAATAAACAAAACAAACAGAAAAAAAAAATGCACCACGTTGCTAGGACAGTAATGATTACTCGTTTTCCTTTCAGAGATTCTACCATTGTATTACTTATCTATTTTAATCTCTAAAATGCCTCATTGGAAAATGTCATCCTCTCTGAAATAGCCTTCAATTATAGAGCTGGTATTTTTGTTAAGAATCATTGCTCTTCGTTGAAGTCAGTTCATTTAAAATACTTCAGTAAAAACTGGGGCTATGTTCTTTTTTTTTTAAATTGTTTATTAATTACACTTTATTCACTTTGTATTACCCCTGTGGTTCCCTCCCTCCTCCCATCCCAATCCCTCCCTTCCTCCACCCTCTGCATGCATGCCCCTTCCCAAGTCCACTGATAGAGGAGGTCTTCTTTTCCTTCCTTCTGATCCTAGTCAATTAAGTCTCATCAGGAGTGGCTGCACTGTCTTCTTCTGTGGCCTGGTAAGGCTGCTTCCCCCTCAGGGGGAGGTAATTAAAGAGCAGGCCAATCAGTTCATATCAGAAACAGTCCCTGTTCCTATTACAATGGAACCCACTTGGATAGTGAACTGCCATGGGCTACATCTCTGCAGGGGTCTTAGGTTATCTCCATGCATAGTCCTTGGTTGAAGTATCAGTCTCAGGAAAGACCCCTGTGCTCAGATTTTTTTGGTTCTGTTGCTCTCCTTGTGGAGTTCCTGTCCTCTCCAGATCTTACTGTTTCCCACTTCTTTCATAAGATTCCCTGCACTCTGCCCAAAGGTTGCCCATAAGTCTCAGCATCTGCATTGATAGTCTGCAGGGCAGAGCCTTTCAGAGGTCCTCTGTGTCAGGCTCCTGACTTGTTCCCTCTTTTCTCCTTCTTCTGATGTCCAGCCTCTTTTCCTTTCTGGATAGGAATTGAGCATTTTAGCCAGAGTCCTCCCTCTTGACTAGTTTCTTTAGGTGTACAGATTTTAGTAGGTTTATCCTATGTTATATGTCTATATGAGTGAGTATATACCATGTGCATCTTTCTGCTTCTGGGATAGCTCACTCAGGATGATCCTTTCCAGATCCCACCATTTACCTACAAATTTCATGATTTCCTTGTTTTTTATTGCTGAGTAATATTCCATTGTGTAGATATACCACAATTTGTGCATCCATTCCTCCACTGAGGGGCATGTGAGCTGTTTCCAGCTTCTGGCTATTTCAAATAAGGCTGCTACAAACATGGTTGAGCAAATGTCCTTATTGTGTACTTGAGACTCTTTTGGGTATATGCCTAGGAGTGGTATAGCTGGATCTTGAGGAAGCGCTATTCCTAGTTGTCTGAGAAAGCACCAGATTGCTTTCCAGAGTGGTTGTACAAGTACATTCCCACCAGCAGTGGAGGAGGGTTCCCCTTTCTCCACAACCACTTCAGCATGTGTTGTCTCTTGAGTTTTTGATCTTAGCCATTCTGATGGGTGTAAGGTGAAATCTTAGGGTCGTTTTGATTTGCATTTCCCTGATAGCTAATGAGGTTGCGCATTTCTTTAAGTGTTTCTCTGCCATTCGATATTCCTCTATTGAGAATTCTCTCTTTAGCTCTGTACTCCATTTTTTAATTGGATTACTTGATTTCTTGCTGTCTTGAAGGTGGTTTCAGTGTAAACAAGTTACTGGTAACCTGGAGTTAAGAATCTCAGGTTTGGGGGGAAAACACACACACACACACACACACACATACACACACACAAAACAAAAACAAAAAAAAAAAAAAACAAAAAACCCCTACTCTGATACACTAGGAATAAGGCACAGGCCTGACAAACACAACATAACAGATAATACTGAAGTGACTGGAGTCTCCAATATTGATGGTCTAGAACCATCAGTAGCTCCATCTACACAGACTCTAGCTTTTAATAAGATACTGCACAGGATCTGATTAGAAATATAACAATCTACTAGCTTCCATGCTCCTCTCTTCCTTCAAACTTTCCCTACACACACCCTTTTATTCAAAATGTATCATCTCCACAATTGCCCTTAGCAAAGGACAGTATTTCAGCACCTGAATCTTTAAGCTGTTCCCAATAAAGGAAATGTATTAAAATGGTGGCTCGGGCACTAAAATGATGGAAAACTGAAGTATTTAGCACAGAGATGTTCTTCATCAGGTAACCTGCTCACGGGTGCACAACGAACTACAGCTTATCAGCTCATCAGAAAGGAGCTTTTATTACAAGTAGATATGCTTTGCATTAATAGTAATTTAGACAATTCAATGTTAGTAGCCTGAGAAGAACAGTGTGGTTCTAAATAATTAAAACCTATCTGACATTCGTATATACATTGATATACGAATACTGGAGAAATAATCCTAAAAATAATGAGTATTCTAGAATTACATTTTAGGCAAATTCACTTAATGTTTGTCAACCTTTGGAAATCTGGTCTTGCCACAGCATGCTACCAAAAACTCTGCAGAGGTCCTATGACCCCAAGCTATGCACAAGCCAAGAGTCACTGTGACTGCAGCTGACACCATGCTGCTGTGACCCCTGCACCTCTCTTAAACCAGAGGACAGCTGGACCCTCTGGAGACTGGGTCCTTAATTTGGACTCAAGGCTAGACCCCATAGCAGCCACAGCATCCCAAATGAATGGATTTTTACTCAAAGCAACACCTGTAGTCTACAAAACAATTATGTAAATTACTAAATCTATTTATGTTCATTCACAGTGCAGGTGAATTCTAAAACACCAAAAATAAACTCTTCCATCTCCCCTCCCTTCCCACCAACTCGACCCTTCTCCTCTCTCCCACCATCTTTTTGAGCAGTTTCCCGAATAATATTTAATAGAAAATTCTCAAAGTTAGATGCTGTGAAGCTGACAATAAATTCCCAGTGTTATAACTCAGAGCACTTTTCTTTCAAATGAGTCTAACTAAAAACCACTCCTGAGGACTTCAAATTGGTACTCAGAAAGAAATAAGTAATTTATACTTTTTCCTCTTCCAAGGATTTAGGTAATCTTCAATATATTTACTGTTACTATCCAAAAAAGTTGACTGCATAAAGCATTCTGGAAGTATGTCTAAAAGTTGTAACTACTTTAACTGAACTATGAGCAAATCGTTATCTTTATACAAAATAAAAGTAAGTAAACACTGGAAAAGGCTTAACATATTCACGTCTTAATCATTTATTTGTTAGGAAAGTGTACTAAATACTGGTGTCCACTGAAAGAAATCTCATTAATATATGAAAGACAAACCAGGCATTCCTGAGACTGCAATGGTCACAGCAAAGGGGAACTTTTAAATAATACTACACAACACAAAGGCAGAAGATGTTATAAAGTGACATCTTTGGATCAAACGCTGGGACTAAAGTCTTGACTACAGCCCAAAACACCTACTAAGATAGTCAAGAATGAGAAAATTCAACAAGGAATTAACCAAATACTCTCTATATGTGATGAAAAGTACCAACACAACTAAAGAATGCCAGACATTTTACATACATTTACTCCTTAATAAAAATATTAGAAGAGAATTATATAAACCATAAATGTTTGCCTACATGCTTTGTCAAAAGTTTTATGATTAATATACATGATGCTTTAAAATTGAACTTGCTTATTGTTAACTAACTTGGCACAATACATAAATTATTAGGAAAATGCAAAGCACACTAATTTCTTTATTAACTCATAGTAGAAGTGGTAAGAAGACTTACTGCAACAATCATAATTGCATTATCCAAAAAGCCAAACCCTACGAAAGGTATCGCATTGTGGAAGAATACTGAAAAACATCAAAACACAGAAAAACATATTTTAACTTTTGATAACTTTACAATGAACACAACAGACCATGTAATTAAAGCTTCTAAACAGACGTAAGAACGATTATGTTCCTACTGTAAGTTTATTTCACAGTTGTTATACTGGGAAGCAAAACACAAATGTGTAACACATACAAACAGCTTTAGGCCTTTGTGTTTTCTTACCAGCGATGCACCTACATACAGTTCTTGGGAGAACAAATTTGTAAACATATGATGATCTCATTTAACCTGACTCATGTAGATCTAATTCTCTCTTGTACCTGAGGACTATCGTAACACTACTAATCTCTATATTTGTAATAATTTTAAAAGTTCCTACACTCAAATTCCAGAAGTTATCTGACTGTTTTACTCCCTTGTCAACTCTTTGAAGAAATTTTAGGAAAAGGCAATTGCTCATCTTCATCTGCCATCTATGTTCAGTTTTTAACATCTCAGAAACTATCAGGATTTCTAAATGCTGCTGAAAAGTGTAAGAATCAGTATTTCTGCTATATCAAAATGTGGCTTGAAGGCCTCTTCCTACCAAAGGCACTTCTCAGCTCATCTATCTGAGATATTTAAAGTCAAAGTAGCAAAACCATGTTTTTTATTCAGCATCATTTTTTCAAATTTGTATCTTTAGCACACTGCTAAATACACAACAGGTGCTCAAAAAATAATTAAGTTGAGAATTACTAACCTGGAAGAGAAGCTAATTCCATACTTAGACAACTGGAGGCAGGCTGTGAAACAGATTAAAAGCTGGAAACAGGAAAAGACTATTCTAATTGGCCTTTCCAAGTGCTAAGGCCTATGCCATCTAACTGACAACTTTTTTCAATAAACATCAAGAATCTGAATTTTATACTATATCTAAAAAAAGTCCTCCCTTTAGCCAGTTGGTTATAGTTGTTAATGACTTCAGATTCTTTTTTCTTTTAATGCAGTTAAATATGCAATGTAATTAAAATACAATCCAGAAGTTATGAAAATATGATATTGCTATGGTAAGCTCTGCCATCAGGGAAGGCTAATAGGCAAAAATTTTTAAAAATACTTCCACTCACAACTAGTATCAAAGAAATACCATATTCAGCATAATAATATGTGTCATCATGTATAGATTATTACAGTTACAGTTCTAGATAAAACCAGTCATTTCAGTGTTACTTGTCACAGTAAGAATGTTCACAGTGAAGACCAAAATATTCCATTGTGATTATTACTACAAAAGCTATCAAGATGGTAAAAGTCACATTCAAAAACTGGGATTCAACTCAAGAACCCCACCTTGCTTCCCTCGCTGTTCACCTAAGTCCACTGGATGCCTACTAAACATACTGACGTTTTATAGAAAAAAGTTTCCAAAACACACATACAACCCTAACTTCCAACTACAATATAAACTTAGTAGGGAAAAGGGATCATGAGAAACTTTAAAGTCACCCAGTGAAGGCCATACAGTGAAGAGAAACCTGCCTGGGTATATCTACACATAACCTTCTCAGTGGTCTCTGAAACTCAAACACGGCAGAATAACAGAGACGTCCGTTGAAATTACCTCATATTTGAATAATATGATGGCATCTCAACAAGCTGCTAATGGCATTAAATTAAGGTGATACTGATTGTTTATCCTGGGAGGAGCCTGGTGAGGAAAACTAAGGCGTGGTGCCATACTAATCAACTTGAACTTGAAGTAGATCTTCTTGTTTATATTTAAATAAATCTGTCATAGAAATTTAAAAAAAAAAAAACTACTTTAATTAAAAGGAGAAAAATGAAGTTTCTCAGAGGAGAAGTATGCACGGGGTATCCCACTGGGGACTTGAGATACAAAGACATATGAAGCTTGTCTTAAAGGATTTAGACCATACAAACTTACTCACACAAACAGTTAATTCAGCAACACCTACAAGAAACTATAATAGTATCGTATATGCTATCAATGCAGACTTAGGAATCTGGGCTGCGAGAATCAGGAAAGATTACCTGGAAAGAGAGATCTTAAAGAATTCTTAAATTGTTTTGGTGTTTGAGGAAAGTTACTAATTTCTAACATAAATTATATTCTACCTATGAGAGAGAGAAAAAAAGAACTATCATTAGTTTTTTCCTAGTTGTTTAATTTGCCTTCCAATGAATAATGATCTCCTACTATTTCACTATTCCTTCAATTCCCTTTGGCAAACACTATTCTATAGCTAAGCAGTTGTTAGCAAATCACATTGAATATTTAATTACCTGCTTAATTATCACCTACTCAAATTCACCACACTTTTAAATGTTTCTTTTGCATTGTCTTTTAATAAGACCCTAAACTGTTTTACATCATTCTCATGTTAACCTGAAATATTCATCCTTATCATAACAGAAAAGGAAGAACAGTAGAGCTCAGTAACGAAGTTCTTCCTCCTCAAATGAACTTCACTTACTTTCTTAGCACTATGAATGCTACCCAGAAACAATTTCTGCATCAGAGAACAGTTAGCCTGAACCTAAAATTAAGTTCTGCAGTTACCTAACTTAAATCCAGCACATCCTTTTGCCTACGAAGTAAATTTGATGCATATTTCCCTGCAAATTAAGAAAACGTCTAACATAAACTTACTTTTATTATTAGATGATAAGAACACTTTTAAAATATTAGATATCCCATAATATTGTGATATATCTTCAACCAGGTTTACAAAGTACTCCTACATGAAAAATAGGATAATCCATTCTTAATTTACTATATAACTTAATTGATTATTATAAGAAACAGTTCCTTTAGGTCCAAAGAGAGCTACGTATCAATTTAACAATTGTAGAACCATTACCATATCTCAGCTGGCCTGGAGTGGGTGGCAGAGCTTCCAACTTTTCTAAGGGAGAGAAAGGGTACAGGGCAAGAATTAGTTACGACTGTACAGCAACACACAGACAAAATGGAAAGACACTTCTAGGTTAGTAGATCAAAATTATCCATTTTAAAGAATATTGGTTTCAAGGAAACCACAAGATGAGGAACTACACAGCTTCGCATATGCTGTGGGTCACACACACGCGCACGCGGGTGCTCTTTTAGTTAGGTCATGGCATCACTATGCAAGGAACCCATCTGCGTCAATTACAATAGAAACATACTCCAGAAATATAATTTGTCTTCAACATAGGAACTCTTAAGAAATACATACAAACCGATACTGACAGAAGAAAAAAAATCATTCAAATATGCTTTTATTTAGTTATTTATTTATAAACGGGGTCTTGTTATACAGTCCGGGCTGGCCTCAAATATGCAATTTCCTGCTTCCTCATTCCAAATGCTAAAATACCAGGGCTTTACCACCACAACCACTTGGAAATTTCATTTCAAAAGCAATGTCATTACAACAATAGTTTTACTGGCTTGAATCATGTCCTCCAATTAATGCCATTTAACAATATGCTGAATTTTTTAATTTTCCAGGCTATACTATTAGAATAAGTAGTCTACACACTAAAACAACCAAAAAAAGGAATAGTGTTATTATTCCAAATAACAAATAATAACATACTCTTTATAAGAAGTGGCAAATACTTATCTTTAGTCAAAAGGCCAAGAGGCAATAAATAATATATGACATTAAGTTTTTCCAAGTATTAACAAAAGTATGTCTCATTACATGTAAAAATTTAGAATTATTACAAAATGCAAATAGCTAGTCCTCCAATCAGACCATCCCACCATCTGTGAAAGCTGCAAAGGTCAATAATTCCATCTTCTCTCTCCTAACCCAGCCCAGCAGAATGAGTCTGACTCACAGAGAAGAACCTATATACATTTGTTCCCCAGAGGGTGACTATGTTGACAGCTTGGTTCCAGTGAGGTAGGGTTCAGAGGTGCAGCTTTGGGGAAGTGACTGAATCACTGGGGTCCTGACTACCTCAATGGATTCATCCTTTACAGTCGTAGAATTGTGGCACTTTTGGGAGGTGGTAGAAGGTAGGATGTGGGTCCTAACTGGAAGACATGCTTAGAAAATTGTGCCCAGGCCCTTCCAGTCTCTGCTTCCTGGCCACCATGGGGTGAGCAGCTTTGCTCCATGCCCTTCTGCCATGATGGTCTGACTATCTCCTCGTCACCCGGAAACAATGGGGACAAACCACTACAAACGTCATAGACATACACGTAGGCAAAACACCTGTACATGTAAAATAATAAATCTAAAACAAAGGTTGATTTTTAAATGTTAACAAAAGATGAAGAATCCCAGTTTACTAAGTGACCAAACCAACCAGAGAGCCAGAAATAGCTTGTAAAAAACTGTAACCACCTGAAGGGTAGCTGACTTTTATTCCTTGATGATTGATATAATGTACCACATGAGAATCCCCACTATGAAGCTGAATTACTGTTTATCTAGGAAATGTAAAAATGAAGGCAGTCACTATAGAAACCACAAGTGATTCAGAAAAGAGCATTTCCCCCCTCCTATTTCAAAAATAAAAATTCATTTAACCCAGGTGCTTTAAACATAAATATGTAAGCTTTATATTCTGTTCATGTAAAGAAAATGGCAAGTTAGATAAGAAGCGGAAGACAAAGAGAATGAAAAGCAAACAAGGATAAGGAAAAAATGCAGAGGTTTTTGTTGTTGGGGGGGGGCAGAATAATTGGAGATTTGATGTCAAACAGAATTTTTTAAGCTTGAGAAGGAACCCAGGCCACATAGGAAGCTCTCTCAGGGGTTCCATTGCTGGAGCACAGGTTTATCAGCCCCTCTGTCCCATCTGCTTTGTTGCTTAGCCATTCAGAGGTCTGAGAATTGGGTTGATTGCAGACATACAGCACAGTGCCAATCACCCTAAGAAAGCAGAAAATCATTCAGGCTGCACTCACACTTTGCTTGCCACTAAGGTTCCAGAACACCTTGGTGATGTTCTGAGAAGTTGACTCTGAATTCTCGGCCCATTGTTTAGTTGTTTTTTCTTCTGTTTCTAATGAGACATCTGCTGGGAGAGGAAATGACTAACTGTAGGGTAGGTTCTAATAAACTGAACTCTAGCTAATTAAGTTTTTCATTTTGCTATACTGGAATATATCCAGGAAGCTTTCTCATCGGTAGAAACTCTTCTGGCAGCCTACTGGTGTCCCCTGTAATCCCTGCTCTGCACAGAGAGCACAGGAGGGTGGATCTGAGTTCAAGCTCAGCTAGGGTTACATAGCAAGACCCTGTCTCAACAAACAAACAAAACCAGGCATGCAGGAGACAGAGGCAGGTAATAATCTCTGTGAGTTCAAGGCCATCTATGTAGAGAAACCGTGTCTCAAAAAAAAAGACATAAAATCCAAAAACAGATACCATACTGTGGATAGTAACCCTAGATCTGAATCTTCACTGTTATAGAAACCCTATGACCTAACTACAGTAAAGCAAATACTGCCATTTAGAGCTCACATTTGCTTCAATCCTAGGATACCCCTACTAGATTTTACCCATAGTTCACACATAAAATGTGATTTACATTAAAATAGTTTACCACTGACATTGAAATACACCCTTTTATATAAATGTGAAAATGTACTCTGGAGAAACAGAACTGCCTGTGGGGACAGCAGGCTGAGCGTATGTCGGTTCAGGTCAGAGGCCCTGACAGCCTGACATGGCAGCAGTACAGATGAGCAGCTTTAATGCAGTAGCAGATAAAAAGGCCAGCTCTCAGTGGACACTTTAAGAACAGACTGGAGAAACAAAATCCTAATGTCAATCATTATTACTTTGTGAGAAGAAAAAAAAAACAAAATACACTAACAACAGCTTTTAGCACAACAAACAATAGAGCTTAAAGTTTAAAACCATTCTCCAGTGCAAAAGATCAAAAAATTCTGGACCAGGGGTCTTTTCTGACACTGATACTCCAACCAAGGACTATGCATGGAGATAACCTAGAACCCCTACATAGATGCAGCCCGTGGCAGCTCAGTCTCCAAATTGGCTTCCTAGTAAGGGGAACAGGTGCTATCTCTGACATGAACTCGGTGGCTGGCTCTTTGATCACCTCCCCCTGGGAGGGAGTGGGGAGCAGCCTTACCAGACCACAGAGAATGACTATGAAAGACAGTCCCGATGAGACCTGAGAGGCTAGGGTCAGATGGAAGGGGAGGAGGACCTCCCCTATCAGTGGACTGGGGGAGGGACATAGGAGGGGCAGAGGAAGAGAGGGTGGCGTTGGGAGGGGACAAGGGGAGTGGCTACAATTGGGATACAGAGTGAATAAACTATAACTTATAAAAATGCAAATAAAATTTTTAAAAATTAGAGATTTCAATAAAAAAAATAGGTAAAACCATTGTCCAGACTCTGCCTTAGCAGTGGATAACTTTCCTTATGATAAAGCAATGAAAGGAACTAAGCACACTCTAAGTCTACCAAAAAACACAAGTCCCCCAGGCTTACTGCTTAGCCTCTGATAAAGGAGAGGGATTATCACAGAGGAAAAAGGACAGATTCAAAGGCACTGTTTGTTCTCAAGGAAGCAAAGTCAATCTTCACACACACACACACACACACACACACACACACACACACACACACACACAGGTGCTGGAGGGTAAGGAGTGGGAGGTGATCAAACATGCCAGGCAGACATCAGTGTCTTTGACCTATGGTCACTCAACATATAATAACACTCAGAATTGCAGTATGTACATGTGACTTCTGTTATCTACAAGACATACCACAGTTCTAACATGCTTTTGCCCTTGAAATCATTATTAGTTGCTGAAGTCTGTGATGTGTCACAATCACCGAAAACGGGGTTCAAAACCAACAAAAGAAGCATGGTGGAGTAAATTCTTATTTTTGCTGTGTCTTTCACAAGAACACATTTTTCCCTAGTGAAAAAAAAAAATCAATTTTGTTCATGAAAAATCAAACCTTTACTCTACCTGAGGAAACCATTTTCTAACATCAAATTCCCAAAACAATTTATTCTGGTGACAAAAGACCGTGTGCCTTAATACGGTTTTCAAAAGACTAATAAAAGTTATATAAATTTGCACTTACAGCAAAGTTATTAGTAAAATAAACTATGCAAGAACAAACATAGTGAATATACAGTTATTTGATGTTATCTTGAGAAAACAGTGTTTATAGCTCATCTGCCCTTGCCAAAATGATTTTTTATAACAAAATTTATCAATATTTTTAGACTGAGCTTTTCTGTCTATTAACTTAGACATATATACAGCAGGTTAATTTTCTACTGGATACTTTAATTAGTTTTTGTTTTTTTTTTTCATACTTAGAATTCTGTTTCTAAATCTCTTGTATTCTTCAAAAAACTCATTAAGTGATGTTTTATTGTGGTATCACTGAACCAAAATAAAAACAAGACATGTATTTAAAGGCTAAAGCTATAAAATATCTCCCAGAAAAAGTATGCCTAATGAACCCCACCATGCTGCTTCGCTTGGGATGGAGGTCTCCCTTTGCTGTCCAGGCAGGCTAGATTGGAACCAGTGGACCTCTGGCCTCAGCCACTCAAGGGCTGCAGCTTCCAGGGCAGGCACTGAGCCCAGCTTGCATTTCATTCAGGTCAAACTCTATGAAAACATTTTGAGCTGTAGACAAAACACAAGTAAGAAAGAAACTTAAAAAAAATTTCAAGCTCCAACTGTCACTTTCTTTTAAATGACAAGATTCTAACAAAAAAAAAAAAAGGATAAACCTGAGTTTACTCTAAGATTTAACCTATATCTCTTCTTTACCATATTTTCCTTTAAAGATAATTTTATCAATATTAACAAAATTTATATAATACTTCTTAGAATAACCTACACTTGTTGGTGTATTTCTTTTCTAACTCTTCTACAAGATAATTTTTTTAATTCTTTATT